ATATAAGAATGAGGTATTCAGTTGATCTTTAAAGAAATCTAGTTTGAAGCTCAGCAAATCTTCCTGACGGAATATGTATTGCTTTTATTTTAAAAGAGTATAATTTTTAATAACTATAGTATAAGCATCCACAGAATCAAGTGTATTTATTTTTAGATCATCCCAATATCGTAGCAAAAAAAATAATTCAGGCTTCGATTTAAACCCAATAATTAATCTGGTTATGTTAAAATAGATATAAATAATAGTTATTTAATATGTAAGAAATGTGGCCTAATGTTCCTCTGGGAACGCAATGGAATGAAGAAGAAGAAGAATATATGAGAAAACAGTTGACGTTTCTGTCCTCATTCAAGTCGAGTTTCTTTAATATTTGAGTTTAGTCATAAGTGTTGCTTATTGTCCTTGGACAGTTGCATAATAGAAAAGGAGAAAAAAGACTAAACATTAGTAGTTTCATGACAGTTCCTTGAACTTATTGAGCAATTTACTATGGCAGAATATATAACCACACAAAACATCTTTCTTGGCCATGAACTTTTGGCAGAGCTTTTAAAGAGGTAAAGGAACTCTTGATGATGATATTGTTGAGCTGAAAAATATTTTCAACTAAATTAATTTAAAATAAATTAATTAATTCACATTTCAACTTTTATAAACCAACCCAAAAATCAATTTATGCCACACGCGTAAATTTTAAACTATTTTAGGAATTTTAATATGGATTTGGGTCCGCAAAAAATACCAAACGATTTGTTAAATATAAAAGTTCTATATTCGAAATATTTAAAATTTAATTAAATTTTATTTAATTAAATATGCGTAACAAATGTTTCACTTACGCCTGAGCGAAGCGACACGACACAATAACAACAAACGCTCTGAGATAGGCGCGCCTAGGCGGTAGATAGGTTGGGATTAACCCTGAATGTTTTTGGAGAGAAATTTAGTGCCGCACATGTATGGAAGCTACCAGTATTGCGGTGTGCTGACAGTTTAGTGTCGCTTATTGGTGTTGAATCACATAGTTCATTGAATATACAACACTTCGATTGTATCTATCCAAAAACACATTCCCGCACACTTTATACACATATTTGCTAGCGCTGTAAACTGGATTGTAGCTCAGATTGTCCTGCATACGACAGAAGTTGAAAATTTTCCCATCTTTCCAGAGGTATGGAGTCAGTGTAGCTATTTCCGTTTCATTTGCTGATACAAATTATTTTGGGTTGTTGATAAATTCTGAATTTTTAATGACTGTGCGCGAATATATTTTATAATGAAAAACTGCGTTAATTGAAATTTTAAAGCGTCGTGTGGCAACTCGCAACTCACAAGTTTTTAGGTGCTATAAATTAGCAAATAAATAAAAATAAATTATGCGTTTTGTCTAATGTCAACTTTGGTAATAGTTTGTCCTTGTCCTCGTATATTCGGGATGTGAGGTGTGTTGTGTGTGGCTTTTATCTACCAAAGAGCAATAAATTGCGGCTTTTCGACTAAATTGAATTTGTTATAATGATTATGTACAATATCTGAAATAAACATGTTTTCGATAGTACTAATTTAAAAATAATTTATATTAGCTGCACTGTTATTTAATAAAGTTCAAGCTGTAATTGAGGCTAATTTAATCAATTTGCAAAGTGATGCAATTTTAATTTCATTTTTATGTATAAACATTTGCTCTTTAACAACTAATGCAGTTCTAATTAATCAGGAATAAAAAGCAAAAAACATAAAAGTTTTAATATTTTCACGAAAAGGGGCATCCGGGGCTCCATCCCTTTCTGGTGGCCGCAGAAAAATGTGTACTAACATAATATTTTCATTTATATTTGGGATGTTTTTCAGAAAGGTACCTGAGATTGTCTTTTCTTTCATCCCTTTTTGAAGATTATCTCACACAAGTGGCCATTCTTAGCTCTAATGACGGATTGTGTTTGTTTTTTGACATTTTCGATCGCATTTGCTAGAATTTCGGCTCCTATAATGACTTTTTTTTTGCATAAATTAGTATTAGAGTTATTGTATTGTTAAAAGAAATCTTTGACTACAAGTGGTCCCAGAGGTAAAATTCTGTCGGTGTCAAATCTGGCGAACGCGAAGTACAGTCAAAATCACCAGCCCAATATATCAAGAGAGTGATGAACAATGGCTTCAAAAAGTAAATTGTGCCACGAGCTGATCAAAGGTTGATATACTTTCAGTTGGTTGTTGACTTAAAGTTTGTCTAGCGTCGTTGTATTGTTGATAGAAACTTTTGACTAGAAGTGGTTCCAGACGAGCTGATCAAAGATTCATGTAAACTTAATGACTTAAAGTAGCTCCAGAATGAATACTCTGGCAATGTCAAATAGTGCGCATGCGGAGGACAGTCAAAATGATCATTTTCGATAAAAAGCCATGTCGAAACAATGGCTTCAAGAAATCAATAGGGATACGAGTTGTCTTAGGTGGTGCGCCATCTTGTTGAAGATGTTAAAGCATCAGAAGTGCGGCATACCATATTCATATTCATGACAATCGGCATTATAAAATCGGTGATCATACCCCAATAACGCATCTAATTGACGGTTGTTCTTTTATCACCGACGGATTTAAAAAAGTCTAATCAATATATTAGCAAAAATTACGCACTATACTGACACTTTTTGGCAGTTACAAAAGTCACTGCAAAAAAGTTTATTGTGTAAACGCATAATTGTGTTCTTCGATGGTGTACTTTTTTTTTATTTTTTCTTCTCTGTATGTGAATTTTTCTTTATTGAGATGTGATTTTAAATGTGTGTGGCTAGAGAAAAAATAATAAAAGCAAAAGTACACCATTGAATAACACAATTAAGCGTTTACATAAGAGATTTATGAGGGTGTGTATATAGCAAAATTCAATGGTGACTGATCTTGTAAATATGTGCTTTGATTAGACATACTTAATTTTTTTTGTCACAGTTACAGTGTTGCCAGCTGCATATTCCATTGTTTTTGAGGGAATTTTATTCCCTAAGTAATATGCTTTTGTGATAAATATATCATGTATATTTAATAATTAATACTAATTAATACATAATAATTAACTAAAAATAATTCTTTCATTGCAAGAAAACATTACAAGCAGAATTGTAAAGTAAATTATAGAACTTTGCTCACAAATTTATCCTTTCCATCACTAATTCAGGACATAACCTATAAACTATTGTAACATTTCTCTTAAAATGCTTAGGCCGGTAAGGCGGCTAAGGCCTTAGTAAAAATTGTACCACTAAACAAAGCTTAACTTACTCAAGGTAAAGTAGTGTAAATACTTATTAAAATCGTAATAAGTTTAATTAAATTGTTTTCAACTAAAGTTTATTACCGACTTCAACTAAAAACTTGGATAACAGAAAGCGCAGTAAATAAGATTCTTAGCAACATAAAAGGAGCAAGCGATATTTAAGCAAGAACAACAATAATAATTACTTTACTAATATAAAACAACAAAATCTGCTCCAACTAATCTGCTCCAACGAAATTTGAAAAATATAAAACAAAACACCTTCATTACGTAAATAAACCGAATAAATCCTTTAAATTACTTTTGCGGTTCTAAAAACAGAATGAGTTTCTCTACTGCACTAATTTAATAGCAACAACGTTTGGTATCTTTGCAACAATTCAGATATGTGGCAACTATTGTAGCAACAGCAGCGCGAAAGTTGCAGCAACAATTTCTGAATTCTAACTTAATCTGAGTTATTTGCTTTCACTTTTTTTTCTCTTTTTGTTTAATGTTATTTTGTATTATTTTTATTTTTAAGTACGAGTACTTTACCTTTAATGGTTTTTGTTTTTGTTTTTTTGGCTATAATTCTTTTTGGCAACAAAATAAAATTTTACACGTAATTGCATCACTCAGG